TCCTGCTAATCAGTATAATTTTTAAAACATTGAGACACCTTGGCTAAATTGTAACTTTTTATGAAAATGTATTTTCTGTAAAAATTTGCCATGACTCATCTGTGATTGGTCCAAAGACTTATATGACTGCTTCATGTCAGTTTTTCCTCAGCATGATCTTCCATTTTTACGAATATCTATCAGCACACATCTGCACTATGTGTACAAATTTCACCTCCTGAGAGCCTCACATTTGACAGAATCAAGTTTGCCTCATTTTTCAAACAGCGTTAATTCAGTTTAAAAATACTTTTCTCATTATGTTATTGCAAGGGTCTTCTTTTATTCTATCTTATGCTTTAATCTATCCTGGATCTAACACTTATTTCATTAGAATTTTACTGTTGGGAAGGGAAGCTCAATAAAATTTGGCAACCACTTCCCACCCCCTGTCATATTTCTTGTGGTACATCAAAGAGATGAAGAAAGGTATTACTTCCTCAAGACAAACACTAGAGATTCAATCCATTTGGAAAATGTCTCCCTCACATCTTCTTTTATCTGCAGGGTAATTTCCTTTGTAGTGGGTTTCACAATGCAAATTAAGCACATTTTATTTATACCCAAGTGCACAAAAATGAATTTAGATATACCCCAGAGGAAAAGTTTCATGGCAACATCCACTTCTCTTCACTTTAGGACTATAAGAACCTCTGCACTATATCCTCTTCCATAAAGATCTTACGGCTATCGAAACAGTTTTCATGAGGCAAGACAGCTCCACCCTTGCTCTCCAAGGAAGACTAACTAGAATCATGTTACCACTTTAAATCTCTTTGATTGGTTTAAGGTGTTGTTAGCAGTATAACTAAACCAACCAACATATATTTATTGATTTCCAGTTAGAAGAAAAGTTGTGCCACTTATAAGAAATACAAGAAAAGATATTATTTCTGCCCCTAAGGAGTTGCCTGTCTAGTTCTAGGAACTTGTGAGGGTCCCTAGTTTTTCAAGTCATCTTTAGAAAAACAAAAACATGGCTCTCAGATGCCTCATAAAAGACCGTCTCTGAGAATGGCTACATTCTCCCTTAGCTGTTCAAATCCATTATGTTTGTCATTGTATCACCCGAGTTTGAATAGACTTTTCAATCAGCAGTGAATTAAATACTCAGCTGGAGCTGCATCTTATAAGTCCTTGCTGTCCTCAATGCCTAAACTAGTACCATATATACAAAATACATTAACAAATAAATGAGTGAGTGAAAGACTGAATGAGTAAACTTTTCATATAGTGTCAATGCAGTTACAACTAATTCATCTTCAGGTCTATATGCAAGACATTGTGGTACAATCATTTCTATTCATGCCCAAGGACTAAAGACTGGTTGTTTCCATTTATATCCATCCAAATCTTTAACAAGTATTTACTGAGATACTCAGGATATGTCAGATAGGGTTTTAGATGCTGGGAATACAGTGATAAATAAAACAAGAATTTGCCCAAGGGAAGCTTAGATCCTAGGAGAAAGTAATGCTGAGGAAAGAATTTCTCTAAAGTAAGGAAGCAGCCAGTATGGGAAGGAAGGAAGTCTACATGCAACCATGTCTTCCTGGGCTTACAGGTAAATAGAACTTGTTTACCTAAGCTTTATAAAATTCAACAACAAATAGCTGCCATCTCACAAGTGAATAAACCAAAATGAATTACTCCTTGAAAAGTAGAAATGAAAAATTATTACAACTCTCCTTTACCTAATTGGTACATCCACAAGAGAGATATTTTTGAAATAAACTAAAATAAAAATTTTAAATGTACCTCAGAATGAAATAGCTGAACTATGCTTTGCATGAAATTTTTTTCTGTGCTTTAAGCCAATGCTTCTCTAATTTATGTGCTTTCCTCTCTGAATTCCTTCTGTCTCCTTTAACAGCCTTTTACCAATGCATTAATTTCTTCACTAAAATTTTCATGAGGAGAAAAACACTGATAAGATGCCCAACCTAAAAAAAATTACTTACATCTTATGTAATCTAATGAATAAATATGGTTAATGAAAACCACAAAAGTGATGTATTTAACCCATGTGGAAGTTAACTGTTCATAGATTCCTCCTTGTTACCCTTCCTACATAAGTGATGGGGCTAGGGATTAGCAATGAATGTGGTGAATGTTTCTTTCTTTCTAAAATTTACATTTCTAATTTGCTATATTTGAATAATGATTAGGCAGGTGCTTTTGATCATCAATGGTAGAAAAAGATAGAGAGTAGAAATACATCCTTCACTAATTTGAAAAATCAAAGTAGGATATCTGAATTTAAAATGTTACTATTATTCATTGTACTTTATAAATATTGCCAAATATTGAAGTAGGTTAAATTTAACTTTTTCCATATATTTTGACTGCTCAAATATTTCGTTAAATTTATTTCAGAAATATTTTATTTCTATGACATAATCTACACAAAAACAATGTCAGGAGTTTTGCATCTTTTCCATTGAAAATAATATATTGATGATATATACATGTCATCAATATTTTATTCATATTTTATCCTTTTTAATGGATATTTTTTTATTTAAATTAAAATTAAATTTTTTAATTTAATCCTCTTAATGATTAAACATTTTTAAAAGTAGTGTTTCTAAATTTCCTTCCAGATCATCTGTGCATAACTGAGTTAGATTTCCCAGTATGGAAGTTCTATTACTCAGGTACCATCAAGGAGGCACAGAAAATGGAAATCTCTTACCAAAGCACCTAAAACTCAGTAGACTCTGAGAAGGAAAGAGAGAAGGAAGGAAGGAAGGAAGGAAGGAAAGGAAAGAGAGGGAAGGGGATGGAAAGGGGAGTCTAGTATCTGAGGTAGAGCTGGCAGATATTCACAAACTAATTTCTTCTCCTATGCTTAGAAATAAGCCAAATTTGCCACCCCCTTGCAGTTGGGAGCAGCCATTAGACTGAGTTCTGAGGGATGGAATGGAGGAGGAAGTGAGGTTTGCCATCTCCAAGCCTGACCCACAAAACTCCCTGCACAAACCTGCACACATTCCTTCTTTTCTGGGTCAGCCAGCTGCAGAGGATTAAGGAAAGCCCTCTCATGAGGCTCTAGGGCATGTTGGAGCCACTAGATGGAGCAAAGGCAGCAAAGCACCCACATTGGATGGGCCATGTGAGAAAGAAAGAAAACTTCACTGTGTTATGCCACTGAAATTTTGAGTGTTCCTTAAAGCAGTGGCCTTCTCTAACTGATACAGCACCTAAAAAAAATAAATCGGTAATGACGACCTCCACATCTTTTCATCCTCTGAAGTAGTTGATCCTCATTGAAAAGGCTTATTTAGGGCATCTCTAATGAGAAAAGAAGCAGCAATAGAAACGTCTCCACATCTACAGAGCAAAGGAAGCATCCTGTCCATTTATACACCATAAAACATCAAGGAGAGGGTTTCATTGCTCCGCATGGGAATTTAAATTCTTTGATGCTGCACTGATGGCCAATGATCTCTTTATTCCTGTGGGGGGAAGCAAGAATCCTGGGGCAGTAATGTTAGATTTCACTGACATATGAAGCAATTTTGGCAAACCTAGTGAGGCTTTTGGTTGTGATTTATATCTAGTCAGGGAGAAATGACATCTGGGATGTCTGATTTATTCACTAGCAAAATGCTGGCTGAACCTAAAATAAGAAAATAGAGATTTATGTAACAGATTGCAGCGCCTTAATTTAAGAATGGCTAGGAAACCAGCAGACACTCCGTGGCTCTGCTCGGCTTGGAGTCACATGCTGCAAGTTAATATTACCTTTCTCAAAGTATTAAGTCACATGTTGAGAGTTATGGCATTATTCTATCACCTGATCATTTTCAAGATGACTATTTCATGTCCAAATAAGTCCTGGCATTCAATTACATGCTGACTGCCATAAAAAAGCAAATGGCTTTTGTAGAATTTAGCAGACAGTTAGAGTCTATTGTAAGTCTACCGAGAAGCCCACAAGCTACTTCATGCTAATCACGCCAGGAGAACCAGGGAAATATTGGAACTTGATAGTAAGGAATTCTGTCCCTTTTATTAAGAGGATACTTGAAGCCAATGTCTTAATTGTTTCCTTTTCAAAACCTTGCAAACTTTTCCTGGATCATTATCAGTATTGTAAACACCAAAATGTGGGTTCTCTCTGGTCTCAGCACCATCATGAGATGTGCTCCTCCTAAGCTACCAATGTCTTCTTGTGTTAGGAACATGGAATTATGTGGCAAAGCCTTGCTTCCTACTTCCTGCTTTGCATTATCTATGGGAAAGCTCAAAACCAATACCCAGTCCCTCTAGAGAATGCAAAAATCTCTAGTGTGACTGCAGTGCACTAACCTTATTCAGACTCCTCTCCTCATTTTGCTGTCTATGACATTGTGACCTATGTTCTCATCCGTGCATTAGTTGGTCAAGCAATACATTTATCATGTTAGCTGGCTGAAATTCTTTCTGAATAAGACGAGGGATCCACAGCGGGGGCAAGAAATGATAAAAAGGAGAATAACAATAAAGTAAGAAGGAAAGTGTGAGACCTAAATCTAACTGCCTCCATTTTAAGAGAAGCCTCCATCTTGAGGGTGAACTAGGCCCGAACCGGTCCCAGTAAAAACTGCAGGAAGTACTTAGGCAGCCTGCCCTTAGTTACTCCCCTAGCAACAGCAACAGCCATTCAGTTTAAAAGAGGTGCCTATGTCCCAGGACGTTCCTGTTGGCAGTTTGCGGTCAGGCCGGATGCGTACTGACAAGACAGCCTGTACTAAAAATCAACCTATCAGGGACTGCCACGCTGGAAAGCCCCCGAATCCCTCTGTAACTGCAATAAAAAGCCCCGGGACCCTGAGTTCGGGGCTCCATACCATCACCGCTGCGCCGGGGTGCGTTGGAGACCCTGCTCCAGCTTGAATAAAGACCCTCGTGTGTTGGCATCGGAATCGGCTCCTTGGTGGTCTTTGGGGTCTCGCGATCTGGGCATAACAAAAGAAGAAAGCAAGAGAAGAGAAAGAGGATAGGAAAAAAACAACAGTCTAGAAGGATGAAGGAGAGAGGGATGCAGTCCACATGTCTGTCTGTGTTCACCAGGTGAGAAAGTTGAGTGCCTTATCAAAAGACAGGTAAACAAGTATGTTTACTTTTTTCCTTGAGAGAAAACTAAAGACCTTGCTATTGTTCTTCTGCTAAATTCCCCATAGGGTAAAGAGATTACACTGAGGAACTCCTCCTACGATAGGAGATTTTGTTATCTCATCATGCCTTCTTCAATGTCAAGGTTTGGGAAGAGTTACTGGCTTTATGATTGGGGATAGGACCTTTATCCTTAGCAACACTAATCTTGATAAGCCAGTATACCCGTCACCATTCAGTTCTATCTTCTATTGGAGACAGATTCTCAAGTGTCTCAAGGAACATGGTTCCAGCTTCTTTGTACCCTTCACTCTGGGCAGCATGGCTCCCAGGACAAATGGTGAAATAAACCATTCCTATCTGCCTCTCTTTTTCAGGAACTTAGCCCTTTGCTCCACTACCTGGTGCCGTCTTGCTGACCCTGGACACTTACCTGGCTTGGCCGTGGGCCTCTGCCTCTGAATGTAACTCAAGTTCCAGAATCAAGACTCAATTCTTTCTCCCACCAAGATTAAGTGCTTCCTTCTTCTTTTTTCTTGCTAAAATTTAATAAATGTTTTCACCATTAAGTGCTAAGAGGTTACAGTCCCAGTTCTTGAGACAGGAATGGAAGGAAGATAAAACTACAGAATCTGTCAATATGGACTTTTATAAGCATATAGAAAGCATGACCTGAAAAACCAGGCAGGCGTCATTGAAGGTAAGCTATGTACTTTCGTTGTTCATCTCTTGGGGAGTTTGATCATGGACACTAGGTTATACAACGTCTCACAAGAATATTTGCCATTTAAAAACAAAATTTTTTCTTTAGCCTAAAGGAATGGATCTATAGTTGATATGCAATTTTGTCCATAAAACTAGAATGCAAGAAATGTCTCTTTAGTTTATTTCTTAATCTGTTCCAAGTTCACTTTTCACACAAGTGGTGAGAAATCCAATCAATATCAGGACTTTAATCCCACCCCCAGGCGTGCAAGATTCTCTGTGATCTTCTGCATGTGACACTGTTGGGGAAAGGCTCTCATTTCTATGCATATATGGTCACCTCTTGCTTGCTTCCTAAGCCCAAGACATCCCCCAAAGGCAGGGAATTCCTCAACATCCATGCCAAGCAAGGGCTCTCAGAGGCTCAGCTTTTATGTCAGCCTACCCCGAATCCCCTGAAAAATCCCTTCTCTGGGGGATGATTGTGTGGTGTGGACAGTATCTGGCACTTTCTTGAGCCTCCATTTTACTTTCTTCCTTTCCAGCCCAGTCAATCCCCTCTGGAACTCCAAGCACTACAGTTCATCCACTATCTCCACTTCCAGGACCATCCAGTATGACTGGCCTGTTTTCACAAAGAACATGACCATCTCAGGAGAACTGCCTTTTCTGCCTCACAACTCCTGCTTTCCTCCCTGGACCACACATTTTCTCCCCAGATAAGAAAACACAGAGACCTAGCCATAAGAACAAAATAACAGCGATTCAATAAACAATCCTTGCACAAACAACCAAAGATGGAACATGAGGCACCAATGAGTAGCTGAAGTGGAATAAAATGAGGGGCAGCATGGGCCTTTCTTTGTACCACATCCCTCCCCCAAAGAAAGAGGAATGACCACATGTATCCAGACAAAAGGACAAAAGAACTCCATGGGGAAGGGCCTCAATTTAGTCTTGGAAAGAACAAAGTTTTTGACTGTGGAAAAGGCAGGCTTAAATATGAATTCTACCATTTGCCACCTCTGTGATGTTGTGTAAAGTGATGTCTACCCTATGTCTTCGAGTTTAACCTGTAAAATGGGGCAGAAATGACGTCTGGCAAAATATTCATGAAGAGTAAGTGAGTCCCCTCTCTGTTTGACTCCTCCCCCAAATGTACTACATTACTTTCTAAGAGGCTGGCAAAAGGGCAGGAAATGGCAGAAAGGCCAGAAGAAACATCCTAAAAGTCCAAAAAGTTTATCCTCTCCAGCCCATGTCTTATTAAGTCCCACATGCCAGATCAAGCAAGAGCAAATGAGAGGCCACTGCTCCTACTTCCTCCCCTCTCCCCATAGCCCTGAAGGTGGTCCACTCAAATGCAGAGTCATGGTTAAACCCTAAAGCCTTGTAGTCAGTCATACCTGGGTTTGGATCTCAACTTCATCTCAAACACAGTCAGTGAGTCTACTGATATGGAAACCAGGAATAGCCCTACTTATGACAAGAGTCATCATAAGAAAAAAAAATGAGATGACACACAAAAGGTGTAGTCCAGTGTCTGACCACAATAGTGGCCCTCCTATTATTTTTATTGTTATCATCCTCTGAAGACTTGCTAAGCAACCTTTCAGTAAGTGTATCAGTTACTGAAACTTTGCCTTTTCCTTCTTGTTCGGTCGGTTTTATTCTCAATCTTTTTAGCCTCTTCCTGATTCTGTCCAATCATGTCTGGCTTCCATTAATTCACTAATTTAAAATCCTAATAATTATCAGTCATTCCAAAGCAGCTCCAAGGTACAAGAGTTCGCCAACAACAGAGAGCTGCTTCCACGGAGCTCCAGTGTGCCTCCTGCCCGATGTTTGCAAAGCCAAGTGCGCACAGGACATATGCTTATAAACAGCCCCGTCTTCACCCAGGATACCATCTTTTATTATTATTACCCTCTTTTTTCCTTGTCAAGGCTGACAAGTTGTACCAGGTATTTCCTTCTTACTTAGATACCAAAATAAAGTCTCTTCCAAACTTCTGGCTTTTGAGTTCTTATGCCAGGGTGTCAGAGCCAGCCCCTGAGTCATGCAGCCCAGAGCCAAGCTGAGGGGAGGTGGTTTTCATTTCAGGAACTCAGCTCAGCTTCCTGGAGACTAAACACAGCAGCAGCATCAATAAATAAGGGAGAAAGGAGGCAGTAATAAAAGAAGAATTTCAACTTCAGATTCGATGTTAACTAACAGGTATACAATAGTTAAGCGTGGCTAAACGAGAGAATGCATTTCTATATGGTGGGAGGAAAGGATCAAAATCAGAGGCAGAACAAGGTCCGAATCTGCCATCACACAGCCAACATGGATGGAAACAGCATTTTCCTAAGTGCACAGCCTTCTTTTTAAATAAACCAGACTTCTCCTAATGGTCATTTTTAAGTACCTTTTTTTCTTTTCCTTTCATTCTGTAAATTCTTATAAACACCTCGTATGCACCCGATGCCGGAAATACAACAGGGAACAAGATACACTTCATGAAGCTTATATTCTACTGGAAAAGACAGATCATAAAAAAGACTTTGTCCTTAACCAAGGGACTATGTATGAGCTCACCATGTGATCGTGGGCAAGTGTCCTAAGCTACTTATGCCACTATTTCCTCATCTGCATAAGGAAGATATTAATAGTCCATACATCAGAGGCTTGGTGCGGAGGTAAATGAATGGCTATGTGTTCCAAGCTGAGAGCAGTGCTTGGTGAAGGGTGAGTCTTTCCTCAGTGTTGGCTGTTAGGAACTGCACTGGAATGCAGGCTCAGAGGGGAGGGCCCTCTGACGTTTTGGTTATTGCCATATCCCCAGTGCTTAGAACAATGCCTGAAATAGAATAGGTGCTCAATAAATAATTGTTCAATGACCAAAACCAAGTCAAATCAAAGATTGTGAAAAGAGAGGTGAACAGAGTCCTCTATACAAAAAATGGGAGAGCAGGAAGCAAGGAGGCTCTATGACCAGAGGGTCTCTCGGCAAAAAGCTAAGAATGTATTCCAGGAAGAGGGAACAAAAGCAAAGTCCTCATGGCTGGGAAAAGCTTGCTGCGCTCAAGAATCTCCTACCCCAGAGGGTAAGCACGTACAGCTGCCTGGCCACTGGCTTCCAGGCTGCATCCTGCAGCACTCTGATGACCATCTCCTGCCCTTCCCCTTCCCACGGCCTGTTTACCCGGCACAGCAGCAAAGGCCTTCTCTCAATATAAATATCTCTCAATTTGAATACTTCCTTTAAGGAATAGTGTTGGGATGTCAAGGTGGCAGGAAGTGGAGGAATATGTTTTTTTCAAATATTTCAGCTCTCTGAAGACTTGGTGAACCTGCTTTGGTGCAGTGTTGTTGGTCACCCATGAGTTTCCACACATCTCTCTTTAGTTTTCTCTTCCATGTTTCACACCCCTTCCTGATGACATGTGACAACTTGAAATTCTCAAGACTTGTCTTTGAGCATCTAAGCAAACGGCTTGTGTTGCATCTCAATAAACTCCTTCTCCAGTAAGAGATTTCTATCCTCTGTGTTTTCATGCCTCTAAGCTCCAAATTCTTTTATAAAGGAGTTGATGGTGTGTCTTTAGAAATGTTCAGACTTGGTCAAAAGAGAAAGCAGTGTTTGTTTTCTCATAATAGAAGCAACGTAGACTTCTCTCTGCTTTATGATGAGATCTCATATAGTCTAGGAGGGATTGTTTCCCACTAGAAAGAGAGGAGGGGAGGAGGACCTTTGACTCCTTCTGAGAGTCAGTTGATGGGTCCAGCCACCAATGTGCCCATCTAGACAATGAGACATATCAGCTGCCATCATACAGTTCTCAAAACTGAGACCTTCCCCCAATAGGCTCACTGTTAACCTTTGCAAATTCATTGTTTTCCAGCCATGCTGAGGCAAGAAAAAAAGAGTAGTTGAAGAGATATCCATTCCCTCTGATGGCCAGAGTCAAAGAAAGGAGAATGAGAACTAAGTAAATTCTCTGCTCATTTCTTTGTCATGGTTGTTTAATGTCCAGGTTGTGTTCTGCTTACATTACACAATATCTTCCTACTGGAAACCAACATTGATTCCCCTTTCTTTTTTCCAAGACTGTTTGGTATAGTTGTAAAAGTACCCAGCTAGGAGCTGAGGTCTAGGGTTCAAGACCTGGGGGTGAAATTCTGTTCCTCAGGAAGTCTCCTTGGCTTGGAGCATCCTTGCCTATAAATGAAGGGTGTTGGACATGGTGTTTGTTCTAGCTCTCAAACATTCCATGGATCTATTTAACAAGCATAAACTTGTGGATGCTCACTTGGCACACCCATAGAGGAATTTGCCATGTTCGGGCACCATTTAGTGAGGTCTGCTGCTGAGTGCCTCTGCCAGTATCAATTGGACTTACCCACTACAGATATCTTTCCATAGCAAGATCAGATAGGATTATTTTCTTGTTTAGAGTTTTTAAAGGAAAAATATATATCTTAAATGATGCTATGGAATATAGGACATATAGTTGATTAGTATTATGCTTAAAGATCTAGAGTTGTAACAACTGACATATAGATCTAACTATAGGGTAGTTTGTTATATTACCTTCAATCTTTCCTCCCTAAAGTATTGATAAAACACTCAGCCAGGTACCAGTAACGTCTAGCATGGCCCTGTTCTTTTTGTAAGCCTTGTGCTGAACAGGACAAAACCCCTCTTGTATACTGTACTAATCTGTATGTGAGCCTCCTTCTAGACTGATTTAGATAGTTCTTAGCATCTTCTATGATTTCACAACATTCACACATTAAAGTTCAGAGTCTCCATCAGTTGTCTTTATATAACTCCAGCTATTTCTATTCCTACTTGTGAAGGCACAGACTCATGCAAATGCAAGAACTATGGAAAGCATGGCTCACCTCCAGGGCCACTCTACAACTTAGGAGGGGTTGCCACTTGCCTGCTATAAAATACCTTCTCTTCTCTGTCCCACAGCACAGAAGGGCTTTTGGAGACCACCCTGACTTTTAGAGAGAAGAACATCCACTAGGCGGAAGCCATTACCCTAAGGTACTTCCTAAGTCTCACCAGCCAATGGCCCCAGAAAGACAGCAGCTGTGAGCAAAACCATGAACTTTCTGGCCATGGGGATTTTCTTGCTTAACTGCTTTACCCCCACTTATTCCACATTATACTGTCCTGGTTGTCAGGGATTTGTCTTCTTTAGCTTATGTCTTTGGAACACACGGTTATCTGTGTGCATCCAGTGATTCACCATTTGTTGGGAATTACAGAAGAGGAAGCTCAGCAAAGCCTCCTTTCAAAAGTTGGCCCAGAACTATGCAAGTGGGTTGAAATGAGTAGTAGAAACAGATGATTTTAATTCATCTCATCTGTTCATTACCTGCAGTGCAGATGCATGTGTTTTGTGAGTACTGCAGCATATGTTCCATTTTTCTTTTACCACATCCCTTGACCCTGTCAGTGCACTAGAGATCCTTAAATTCCCCTTCCCAGAAAGTTATATATAATCTCAGCATTCTTGAATTTCCATCCTGTGCCTTTCATGTGATCAACAAAAACATATAAAATGACTGTAGAACTGTGAAAGCTACTTCTTGTTTCTACTCAGAAACTGGGATTCATTCTCAACATTTCCTTGCGATGTATCCCCATGCCCACTCCTTCCAAAATGTGTGACTGTAGCTCATTATTCTTACCATTTCTGTTACTTTCACTATGAATGCTTGTTCAAGTTCAACCTTAGGAGTCATTGGTTTGTGGCACATATAGATCCCTCCTAACTTTCCCTGGGCATTTATCACTTAAGGACAAATTGTCTTTGTATTTTATAAATCTCCAGGAGATACATATGGTGGGATCCATTCCTTACAATAGGTTAATATTCTTGTCCTGAACTATCCTACTTAACGATGTACAAATGAAAACACTATCAAAACACTGTCTTTCATGGTCCACACAAGTCCCTACACAAAGGCTTCTGTACCGACTCCCTCCTTCATGGACCACCACCTCCTCTGCAGTCCCATAGCACAGAGGCTCTGTGTCCCCATTCAGTGCTTAATCAGATCCTGTATCAAACTGATGCCTGTTACTCTGTGTGGGGTACTCTTGTCTAGCCAATTACATTAGCATTTCCTTGAAGGCTGTATACATGTAGCTAGTTCTTGGAGACTTCCCTGGTTTTATGCCTCCTCCCCTTACAAAGAATTAAAAAAACCCTCACTGTGATCCCCACCACTCGCTTTCTCTCTCTAGAATGATAGTTTCACATTGACTATAAATTTTTCTTCTGACATTCCTCAATAGACCACTAGATCGTGAACTTTTTGAAGGCAAACTGAGGTATTGTTCATCTTTATATCTTCAATGTCCAGCAAAAGAACTTTTGAATAAGTTGTTCAATGAATGGATAAATGGATGAATGAATAGATAAATGGATAAATGGGTGAATAAATTTTTTCAAGAATTTTTAAATTGCCTGTAGTGCTTTAATATAATGTTTTAACAGAACTCTTGTTAAATATTAAAGAATATTGAGTACTACACTTTAACAGTTCAATGAGTCTTATATTTTTGACTGGCCAAAGTTATTTTCCCTGTTCAGATTTTCCCAATGGATAAAACATGCAATTATATGCAAGAGGAACTCAGTCATTGCTAAGATGCAAATAGAATGTAGCACTTTGTGCTGAAAATGTGACCAGAAAATAGTTGCTAGTTTATACACAACACACTTAGAAAAGTGCAGAAATGTTCAAACAGTGATTCCTGTGTGTTTGATAGCTCCAAGAACGGCATCAAAGTATCATAAAAGAAAAATGTCCTGCTTAATGTGAAAACCTGACAGTCTGCCCTGTCTCCTGCTGAGGGTCTGCCTCATGTCGGTCTCTGGGAGAAACATTTTCTTTGTATCATCAAAGTTGGCAGTGAATATCTGAGTGGACTTTGACCTTGCCTGAGACCTCCAACAACATACTCCTCTGCATACCTCTGCTCTCCAAGCT